GATGGATGGATTTCATTATAATTTGATGTGGGGACTGATATTTAGCTGGGCTCTCATTTTCCCTACCTCTTCTGTTCTAGAAGATCAGAAATATAAAACTGCCAGAAAGGTGATATTGTTTTTCTGATGTGTCAAGCATTTTTAAAAAGGACAAGGTTTACTGCTAAGACTCCTGTTTGATGTTTGAACAGAAACACTGTGTGGCATTTAAGTCTCTCTCTGCTGGCTGTCAGGCAGTCAAACTCCACCTTTTCGGACTGTTGTTTCTTTAAGCCAAAAGGTATGTATCTGCCCCTTGAGTTCCTCTGGGGCCCAGCAAGGAGACTGGCCTGCCTAGAGTAGACTGTGCATGCAGAGAAACTGCTGTAAGACTGGCTAGTCTTACAGCTATGGCCAATTTCCAGTGATCAATGGGACACTGCTGAATGCAAAGATGGGAAGAAATATGGAGTAGCGTACCATCACATGCATTTCTGCCACAGTTACAATAGACCTAGCCTCAAGTAAAAAATGCCGTAAAATAATTGGGAAGTGACAAGTTTGACTGTGTTACCCTTGTTTTTAAAATTATCTATTTAATTGTAAGTTCATGTAACTTCAGTTTTAATAATGGCTCTGTTTAACAACTATTTAGTAAAATCCCTAAAAAACTAAATAGTTGGCTCTCATAAACCTGTGCGAGTGAGCTTTAGGACACCACTGGCTGGGAAGAAACGTGAGCATCACGTGGCACCTAAGGTCAAGTTCACAGCACTCCTGGGGTATCCAAAACTATCTGCGCAGAATTTAACAGGGGCAGGAATGACCAGAGAGTGGGTGGGTGGGAGCAAAGCCTGGAAAATGCTATTTTGTTGTGTCTGTTTTGACCCTGTTTCTATTTCTGGATCATGGGCAGCAACTGAAACCCAATCTGATGTGTGGCCACTGAGGTCTCCCTCTGCAAATGCAGCTGTGTGAAATACTTCCATCATGTGCCACTCCCCACAAGGAAAGCCTGCTCCCTGATAAACTGGACAGAGCTAAAACTTGGTCAGGCATGGTGCATGGTGGCTCATGCCTGTAACCCCAGCATTTTGGGAGGCTGAGGTGGGTGGATGACCTGAAGTCAGGAGTTCAAGACCAGCCTGGCCAACATGGTGAAACCATGTCTCTACTAAAAACACAAAAATTAGCTGGCCATGGTGGTGGGCACCTGTAATCCCAGCTACTCAGGAGGCTGAGGAGGAGAATCGCTTGAACCCAGGAGGTGGAGTTTGCAGTGAGCTGAGATCATGCCACTGTGCTCCAACCTGGGCAACAGAGTGAGACTCGGTCTCAAAAAAAAAAAAATGCTAAAAGTTGCCCCCACCTTTTTCTAGACTGTGTGGTTGTATCCTGAAGGCTCACTCCCTTGGTCAGCTCCTCATGCCCTGAGCCAAGTCACAGGGCAGGTCCCAGGATGCCCCTCAAGCACCCACAGTGAGTAGTGCCTTCTGCCTGAGCCTCAGAGGCAGCCGAAAGATGTCCAGCTTGGACCGGCAGCTCCGAGGCCTGCAGAAGGCTCTGCCCAGTCATTTGCCAGAGCACAGTTGAAAACAGCCCAAGTCCAGGAAGAGAAAGGGTTATGGAAATGGATCTGTGTAAAGACACAATGTGAGTGCAATTAATTGTTGTCAAAGCATTTCGCTGGCCGCATTCATCTCTTCTGTAGGAGAACAAAACTGTCATAACGATGACAATTTTATTCAACATTGGCGCAATTACCAAGCCTAAAAATAGGACACAAAGGGGAGATTTTCTTGAGAGGGCTGAGCTCTGCTACACATGTCGTATGCCTGGGACAGTCCGCCCCCAAGATGGAGAGAGGAAAGGAGAAAGCTAAGATTCATTAACTGTCATCGTGTGCTGCTAGGAGGGGCATTTTACCAGTTTTTATCTACATAATCCTTCCTTCCACTCTTTGGAGGGAGGGGCAGTGGAGTGGAGAGCACTGAGGACCAAGATTTGTTGAGCACCAATTGTGAGACACGGTCAACAAGCATTCTCTACATAGTTTCCTTCAATTATCACGACAATACTCAAAGGGAGGTATTATTAGCCCCATTTTACAGATAAGAAAATTGATTCTCTAAAAGTTAAGAAGTTTGCACAAGATCCTGTAGCCAAAATCCTTCTGATTATACAGTCATTCACATAGAATTGCTTGCTGTGAAACATGTGAGCTCAGCAGAGCCACACTGCTGTCCCATCTTCATCCCCTTTTCCATCTCACATCCCATTGTCCCCCCTAGACTCTGTCACCCTTTCAAGAATGAGAAAATGGTCAAAGACTTGGAGTCAAAAAGCCTTGGGTTGAAGTCTAGGCTCCACGACTTATTAGCAATTGTGACCTTGGCTCAATGACTAGACCTCTATAAGCTTTAGTGTTTTCAGATACATCAAAGACAACAATCATTCCCACTCCACAGCATTGTTGTGGGGATTAAATGAGACCACATACATCAAGTGCTTTGCAGAGCATCCAGCACACAGCAAATACGTGATGCAGTGGTCATGATTACTGGCAGAGAAGATGGCACTGAAAAGAGGGGTAGGTCCCAGCCTGACCTCCATTCAGGATACCATAGACAGGAACAGGGCCTCGGGAGGGCGGCAGCATCTGGGAATCTTCACTCCTGTCCCACGTGGCCAGTTGACTTCACGGTCCTCCCAAAGGGAGAGACCTCACCCTGGAATAGGCACAGCACAGGGTAAGGATGGTGATACAGTTTGAATGTGTGCCCCCTCCAAATCTCATATTGAAATGTGATTCCCAATGTTGGAGGTGGGGCCTGGTGGGAGGGGACTGGATCACAGGGGCGGATCTTTCATGAATGGCTTAATGCCATTCCCTTGGGGATGAGTGACTTCTCATTCAGTTCACATGAGATCTGGTTAAGAGTCTGAAACCTCTCCCTTCTCTGTCTTGCTTTTTGCCATGTGACACGCCTGCTCTCCCTTTGTCCTCCACCACGATTAGAAGCTTCCTGAGGCCCTCACTGGAGGCAGGAGCCATGCTCATACAGCCTACAGAACTGTGAGCCAATTATACCTCTTTTCTTCATAAATTACCCATGCTTGTGTATTCCTTTATAGCAACACAACAATGGGCTGGTCCAGATGGTGGGGAAAACTCGCCCTCTACAGTTAGGTGTGCTGACCACATGCAAGGTGCTATTCTAAGTTATTTGCAGGTATGAACTCATCTAAGCCAGTGTGGTAGGTGCCATTATTCTTCCACCTTAGCAAAGTGAAAAGTAAGCTTTAAGCCATTCTTCCAGGTTACCCTCTGACCCTTTCTTTGGGCACAGCCATGCCAGGCCTATAGCTCTACCTCTCTCAGGGAATGGGAACCAGTTCACCAACACCACCTTCAGGAGATGACTCTGCCCCCGGGAAGCTCTCTCCTTGACCCACGCTTGGAAAGGTGAGCTCTTTGTCTCTCAAGGAAAATATTCACTTCGTGCTTTGAAAAACAGAGGAGTTTCTCCTGCTTTTTCCATCTTCTTCCCTTTGATCATTTCTGTGGGATAAATAATAAGAGACTGGACAATAAGAACAAAATTATGTGAGAAGAGGCAGACTTGGGTTTCAACCCCAGCTATAGCTAGACATACCTGTTGGTAGCTGGGGATCTCTGCCAGTGACTCCCCTTCTCAGTCTCCTCATCTATAAGGCAGAGATCGTATCTGCCTCGCGGTATTGTCATGAGGATCAGGGAAAAGCACAGGAAGCATCTAGATCACTGCCAGATGCCTTAGTTTATAACTATTGTTACTTGGTCACGTATTCACAGCATCAAGCTCTTGTTCTGGGCCACGTCATCTAGGGAGGACTCACCTTCCTTGAGGCTCCTGAGTTCCCTCACAGGTAAAGTGGGGATGAGAACATCCAACCTGCTGTGCAGGATCCCTGTGAGGAGCGGGCGGGGTCACCATGTGAGCCCTTTACACAGTGCCTGGCACACAGCACGGGCCCCATCAACTGTGCTCATTACTCTTACCTTTATCATCATGATTAGCTTCTACCAGGAACTGAAAATTCACCGAAACACCCAACAGATCACTAGAATTATTTCCCAGTCACAACTTGTGGGAGGGAAATATCTGGATATTTCTCTTTCATAAGCCTAAGAGCTGCCAGGCCAGAGATGGTGGTTCATGCCTGTAATCCCGGCACTTTGGGAGGGGAAGGTGAGCAGATCGCTTGAGCCCAAGAGTTTGAGACCAGCCTAGGCAACATGGCAAAACCCCATCTCTACAAAAAATACAAAAATTAGCCGGGTGTGGTGGTGTGCACCTGTAGTCTACTTGGGAGGCTGAGGTGGGAGGATCACCTGAGCCCGGAAGGGTCAAGGCTGCAGTGAGCCATGATCGTACCACTTACACTCCAGCCTGGGTGACAGAGTGAGAACCTGTCTCAAAGGAAAAAAAAATTTTCTTTAGTTTCATTTTAATGGTCTTTGTGTCCTTGTGTCTCCTGTTTTGAACCACTTCAAATCGTTTTCAAAGGAGGCAGAGTATAAAAGCAAAACAGCTCCATGGTGAGAAGTCACACGGACCATTCACCCTCTACATCCAGCTGCATTTGCAGGATGGCTGTGCAGTTAGATTAGCATCTGCAGCCTGCAATCCAAGGCTTGCCTCTCCAGATGAGGGTCCTCAGTCTTCTCAGGAATCAAGCCAAAGCCAGGCCCAAGCAGCCCCAAAGGTAACTCTATCCCTAACAACAGTTACCTGGTCAGTAAAAAAGGTACTGGTCAAGGGGAATCCTTCTTCCAAAAATCATCACCTCAAATTCTCCAGTTTTATACCAGAAACCTCAGAGTAAAAGTCTGCCTTTTGATTTCCACAGAATTTTTAGCAGCACGATGCCTTTTTGAAAATTTGCCTTTTCTTCCTATCAGTTTTCCAACCATACGTAGACAAATCCAGCCTGTAAATAGGTTGAAATGAGAGAGCCAGTTAAGTGAGACACTCAAGTTGTCGCTGCATTTTAATAAACATGGCACACAATGTGTTGCTACACAAACACCATTCATAAACCTGAGTCACAGATTTCAAACGGGAGCTGGGGACGTGTATAAATAGCCTGTGTATGCTAAACAGTAGGAAAAAAAGCAGTTTGGGGAATAAGGTCAAAATCATTACGCCCAATTTAAACGTCATAAAAATCTCAGCCTTGTCATTATTTACAACCCCCAGCACAACTCCCACCCGAAAGAGAATGCCAAATGGAAAATTCTAAATAAGATGATGTCCTCGCGTCGACCTAAACAGTACAAATGATGCAGCATCATAAAACGAAGTTATAATTATATTGTCGCCCTTTCTGGCTGCCGGATGCCCACGGTACAGAGCAGCCACTCCACAGGATTTTCTGAGCTCTGAGCTGTCTGGGGTATTTATAAGAACATAGCTTTGACTAGCGTTGACCAATTGATTTGCATTAAATGACTCCTGTGATGGTTTGAGGTGGCAAAAGAAGAATACAACTTGCGTGGTGGAGAACTGACACTTTGAACATGTTGCAAACATTTCAAAAATCCATCTTTCCAATATTCACCCGTCCTCAGCTTTCAACAGGTCCCTGCAGACTTGGCCTTGACTCTGGGTCATTCTGTTCCTTAGCAAGCACCTTCCAGCCTTCCAGCCTCCGCTCCCACGGCCCAGGAACCCAGTGTGAACTTGCAAAGTGCTGTTCAATGAAGTGGATTCAGGAAGCAGCAATTCTCTCGAGAGAGAGGTTTAGTGTTTCGTCACATACTCCCCCACACCACTGATACTCAGAAGGGCTCTGTGACCCCGTGTGTGGGATTTGAACACCAAAGATTGACACACAGGGCGACAACAGACGCACAGGGTTAAGTCGGCTCCCGGCTGCTGCGTGATCCCAGCTCCCTTTCGGTCGGACTGCCTGCCGGGTCTCTTTCTCACATTTTCCCGTTCTGGTCCCTCCTCCAGTCACCAGCAGAAATGCACCTCTCGGTCTCAGGCCTCTCCCATCTCAGTCTCTGATGACATGCATGGCCTTTGTGTTAAGAGCTCACTAAAGTGTAGATCATGCTGAATGCAAAAATAAAAGGAAAAGAAGGGATTAGTGGAAGCCCACAGAGGACTCAGGCTGCCCCTCAGGAGAGGGACCTTCCACAGGCCAGACGCCTTGGCTTCTCCCTCATTCCTGTCGCTACAGCATCTCACCCACTCCACTGCTGTGCCCCTTCTACTTCCCACAACGCTGGAATAAACATTTTTGGGGAGAGCATACTGTGTCCCTTGGAGAAAAGATGTGATTGCTCTAAGTGCCGATGATTATTCTCATCGGGATGATGATTAGGGTTGTTTTTCTTTTCGTGCAATTGCAGGGCAGGCCAGGGGGTGAGGGTGCAGTGGATGCTTTATGCCATTTGCCACCACACGCTTGTATGATGGCTGTGTCCAGGGCCTCCCAGATGATGCTGGATAATATGTTAGTGCTGGGGAAAAGATCATCAGTACTATTGCAAAGGCCAGTGTGGGAACATAAGCCCTCTGGGCATGAGAACTAAATGAATTCTTGATTGGGTAATTCCCTGGCTCTCCTATTTTCAATGGACTCCAGGAATTAAACATACCTTAAAAGCATGTGACCTTATGTATTGCCCCAATACTACTAAGAGTGGTGATGAAGGGGACATGTATTCCCGTGCTCTTGGTAAGAACTTCAAGTTAATTTTGCAAAGCTGAGGAATGATCTGCACCAAAATATACCTCTGTCTATCTGGCAGAAAAAAAGCCCAGCCACCTTTTCACATTATAGTGAGAAAAAAAGACTCATCTAAGAAGTAAAACCAAAGGAAAGAAATGAAAAGGTTTTACTTCTAACCCTGTGGAGCTGTGGAGGCCCAGTGAGTACTTCTGAGTAGCTGAAATTCCAGCTTCGGGAACGTGACACACCTCATGTGCACAGAGAACCAGTGGTCAGACCTGGAGCAAGAGGGACTTGCTCTACTTGGAGAAGTTGAGGGCCAGATGAGGAGTGGCTTGCTCAAGGTCACACAGCTAGTCACAGCAGGGGGAGAAGCCACATCCTAACTCCAAAGCCAGTGCTTTGTGCATGATAGTACTAAGCCTCATGTGGATACTTTTGTTTACTCACTTTCATTCATTCTTTCATTTAATGTTTATTGAGCACCTGCTGCATGCCAGACACTATTCTCTGTGCTGGGAAAAATGCTGAGTGTGCAACCCCAATTCCTGCCTTGAGGAAGCATACAGCTAAGTTGTAGCAGCAAACCACGAGGGTTCAGTGAGCGCCACGCACGGGCCAGGACACTGCAGATGCAGAGGTGAATGAAACCAACACGGTCTCTGGCATCAAGGAATAAGTAAACCATAAATAATATAATTGTAGATGGAGAGAAATAAACCTGAGGAGGGGGGACGGCATGATCCAGAATAACTGTGCAGGAGGGTAGTCCTACTACTTTAGGTTTGAAAAAATCTTTCTATAGAGCAGACACTGTGCACTCTGGGCTGGCTAGCTAGTATCTGCATCAGCTCGCCCCCTTCTAACACCACCCGCAAATATCACCTGATCCACAAGGCAAACTGAGAAGTGGGCTGATGGGTGCCATGTGGTTCAAGCAGGATAGAAGAAAGAGCACAGGCTCTGAAGCCAGATGGCGCCAATTATTGGCCGGGACTTGAACACATTTCTTAACCTCTCCAAGGTCCTCAGGAGCCCCCCAGGAGGCTCAAACCGTAACCATCAAGCCCATCTTCCCCACTGCTGTTATGTGGGTCTCTAGCCCCGAGCTCAGTTCAGACGTGGCTCTGCACCCACATGGGTCCCCTTCCCTCCCTGCCACGATGGCCTGTGCTGACGCTCCTGTGCTCTCCACCAGCTCTGGATCTGAGGGGCCGGCAGCTCCTGAGGTGGGAGAAACAGAGTCTTTTAAGGAGCCCCGAAGAGCACCAAGGTGCCAGATTTAACAAAGAATGTAGGTGTCGGTAGCCGCCACCCAGGGTCCCCATGAGGCTGCAGAAACTGACTGTTGCCAATTGTGTTTTAGAAACAAAGTAATTAGCGCATGTAACATGAAGGCAGGGCCAAACTGAAGTAATGAACTAGAGGACAGTCAAACAGAATGTCTGGAACATACTCAGTTCAGAACGATCATGCCTATCTAACCGAGAGAAGCTGCCAAACCCACCCCACCCCGCCCCCTCCCACCCCCACAGCTGAGCACCCACAGTCACTTCCCTCCCTGTGATTTCATAGGCCTTCTTCCCAGCGATGCCTTGGCTCCAGGAGTTTCTGCACAAAACTGAAATGAGGGAAATGTCTTGCCTCCATCTTCATCCACAATGAGGTAGGTCCCAGGCTAAAGGGACAGGAGCTAATGAAAACACTGGTATCATTCTGCTGGCTTAGAGGGGAGAGAGTGCTGTCTCTGCGGACAGGCCACTCAGCCCACGACCCTGCAGAAGGGGAAGTCTCTGGCTCCACAAAAAAAGCAGGGTTGAGCACACTGCAGGGAAGATACCTAACCTCCAAGGTGTCAAGTCGCTAAGCCCATGACGGCTTTGTCCACGCTCAGTAGTTTCCCAAGACAGGAACCCATCTGACAAGCCTTTGGATGTTAAATAGTTCAGACTTGGAGTCAGAAAGACTTAGGTGAACCCACTGGGCACCGGGGAAATCTCCCGAGGCTTCAAAGACAATCAGGCTCCCTGCAAGCTGGAGCAGTAACATCCTGGAGCACCCCACAGAGTCTGCAGACACTAGGGATGTAAAGGGGAGGGAAGGCAGAACCAAGCAGAATGCTCCAGAGCCACCGAGGTGAGCATCGGGACTGTCCAGAGAGCACGTTTAAAATGTAGAGGCCCAGATCTAGAAAGTCTGAATAGGTAGCTATAAGCCCAGGAATCTGCATTTTTAAAAAGCACACCTTCGTCCCTTCCTTACCACTTACTTTGATAAAGACTTTTCTAGAGGTTTTCTAAAACAGCCAGCAGTTAAGAGCTACTGGACACGGTGGCTCACGCCAGTAATCCTAGCACTTTGGGAGGCCAAGATGGGTGGATCACTTGAGCCCAAGAGTTCAAGATGAGCCTGGGCAACATAGCAAAACCCTGTCTCTGCAGAAAAATACAAAAAAATAGCCGGCCATGGTGGCACATGCCTATCATTCCAGCTACTCAGGAGGCTAAGGCAGGAGGATCCCTTGAGCCTGGAGTTCGAGGCTGCAGTGAGCTATGATCCTGCCACGTTACTCCAGCCTGGGAGACAGAGTGATACCCTCCAAAAAAAAAAAAAAAAAAAAAAGGAAAAAGGAGTTCAGTCTTTGAAATCGGGACAACTCAGGATGGACTACTTACAGATGCTATTGGCTGGGACTTCAGGAAAATCATCTAACTTCTCAGAGTCAGTTCACTATTCATATGCGAATGAGGATAGTATGTACCTCATAAATGGAGCAATACATGTAAAGCTCTGAGTGCAAAGTCTGGCTCATTTTTAAATGTCAGAACTTTGGGAGGCTAAGGCGGAGGGTCACTGGAGCCCAAGAGTTTGAAACCAGCCTGGGCAACATAGTGAAATCTTGTCTCTACAAAAAATTTTAAAATTAAAAAAAAAAAAAATTATCCAAGCATGGTGATACACACTTGTAGTCTCAGCTACTCAGAAGGCTAAGGTGGGAGAATCGCTTGAGCCCAGTAGTTCAAGGCTGCAGTGAGCGGTGATCACACCAATGCACTCCAGCCTGGGCCAAACAGTGAGACCCCATGTTTAAATAAAAATTTTTTTTAAATTAAAAATTAAAAATGCCAGACAAATGCAGCCGCATTCTGACCGGCCACAGCCCAATCCAAACATGGTGCGGGGGAGTGGAGTCCAACATCCCAGCCCCTCCTCTTCTTCCCCTGGCTGCTGTCAACCATGCCCTTTTGGAGACATCACTGGAAGGTTTGGGGGTTACCATGGCCCTGCCACAGGTAACAATGGAATCACAAGTGACAGGCGAGTCCCCAGAGATGAGCCAAAGAGGAGCACGAAGGAGAAGGAGGCATTTTCAGAAAAGGAGTTCTCTGGTGTGTCAAACCACAAGACAGTCTGTTTATAGCTATCTGCTTAGTTAGGATGTTCTGAGCTGAGAGGTGAAAAGAGAGGAGATTCCTGAACAGGACGGCAAAGTCAGCAGGTTTCTCTTAATTGGAATGGTGTTATGTAATCTTGGGAAAATTGTAAATGAAGCATTTAGCGACCCCAAATGCCACTTTATGAAGCGTGACAGCCACTGTGGGGCTGGGACAGGGAGTCTGGGGCCTCTGTTATGGCTCCCAAGAATCCGTACAAACAAGCTAGGGGGAAAGGGGCAGTAAGGATGAGTCCCTGGAGTCGCAGGCAGCCTGGTGGGCTGAGCTGAAGAGTTGTGAGAGGCAGAAGCCCTACAGGGAAGAAGGAGCAGCCAACTGCACTACACCAGTTATCTCCAAGGGACGTTGAGATAGTTTTCACTGTGTGACCCCGAGGATGTGCCAGCAGCAGGCAAGGCCTCCTGCAGGATCTCTGACCTCCTTACTTCTTTAAGTAAGGAGCTCTTGCTCCTGATCCAGACAGCTGGGACCACACCGACTGGCCATGACTCCCACCCTCACAGGCCCTCTCCCAAGGCCACCTGCCCGAGGCCAGCCTGAAATTCCCTTCCATGTGCTGCAGGAGTCGAAACCACCAGGAGGGGCAGACACTCACCAGTAAAGGTAGTAGAAGAAGGAGAGAAGATAGAAGGCCAGCTTGCACCAGGCCTCCTTCTGACAGTAACTCAAAGTGTCAGCATTCATGACCACTGGTGGGTCGTAGGCTAGTTCTGAGCTATCGGCCGGACAGTGGAAATACCTGCAGGGAGAAAGGACAGCATTGTCTCTGAGGTCCTGGTACTTGTGGCATCACCTGGGAAGCCCTTCTGAAGCAGGACTTCTGCCGAGCAATCCTTGCCAAGCACTTGCCTGCCTTCTGCCCAAGTCACAGTTTCAGTGCTGCTGAAAAGTGGCTCAGCCGCTATCTTCCAGCAGGGAGTAAGTCCCCAAATACTCCGATCACTGGCATCAAGGCAATTTCACCAATATACAAAGCTGCTCCAACAGAAGGGAAAATGTTTCACCTGGCATTGCCTGGAAGTCTCGGGAAGAGCCTCCTCTCAGGACAGGTGTAGGCAGAGGTACAGGGTTATAGCACCACTGCTGGGACACCACCATGCCTCCATTCTACCCTACGAACTACTTTACACAGACCCTCATTGAAAATCCTGAATACTTCAGGACATTCTATTGCCTCTTGAGAGCAGAGCAGTTTACAGGTGCTTTCCTAGAACTCAAAAGGACCGTCAGCCGTCTGCGGGGAGGCAGCGGCCTCAGACGGCAGCTGGGTGAGCAGAAGAACGTGGGAGGGAGAGGGGAGGAGGCAGAGCGGATAACATGAACTGTGTCTACTTCAAAATACCAAGTTCCCAAGGCTCACCTGGCCACAGCCCCTGAGGAGGGGAGCCCTCAGGCTCGGTGAGCCCTGGGGCAGGAGTCTGAGCCTCCTGAGCCCCTTGGGAAGTAGTCGCTGCCCTCAGGACACTGCCCCCAGGACCCTTGGCCACAGCCTCCTGCCCAGCCCAAGAACAAAGTGCAGCTGGAATCTCTCAGCGAGTTCCTTTTTCAGCCATTCTGGTAAAGGCACCAGAGGCCAGGAGTGCAAATAAATGGCTTCCTGGACTCTGGGGCTGGCAGTGGTTCTCAGTGGTGAGCATGGGCCCAGGGAGAGGGCTCCAACCGGGGGATGAATCCCACTGGCTTTGAAGAACATCCCTGCAATGCAGCAGCTCGAAGATCCGGCATCGAACTTCCTTCCTCCTTCCCCTTCAGAGAATTGCACTGATATTATCTGTCACTGACACCTGTGCTGAAAAGAAATCACAAGCCAGATTCGATGACAACTGCCAGCTCACAGCCCTCCAGGCCTCTCACCTCTCCTCTTCCTGGGAGCCTATCTCAAAAGCTATTTGCTGTCACTGTGGTTTTGTTCCCAGGTGACCTCATTAAGTAGAGGCAGAGGGGCAGGGTAGCCAAGTGGCTCCATGGGAAGAGCAAAGGCCCTGCCAGTCACCAGCCACCACACTGACCTTCCTTGGATCTGAGCCTGTCTGAGCCTCAACTTTCTCTTCTGTGAAATGGTGATGGAACTGCCCACCTCAAAGGACTATTGTGACCATTATGTGAAGCGGTGAAGGGAAACAACCTGGAAAGAACAGGTACTGAGTCAACGGCAGACAGTTCTATTTCCTTTAAGCAAACTAAGAGCCAGAGCAGGAGGGGACTTTCTCTGTACGAGACATGTCATTGGACTGGACCTGTTGGAAGGGACGGGGAGTGGAAAGGGGGAAAAGGGGTACACAAGGGCTCTGATTTTTAAAGGACTCCTCCCATCCTCATTCTTTTTTTCTTTCATGTTCTGAGAACTTACTAATTGCCAGGAACTAGACTAGATCCTGTCAGGGATTCAAAAAGAGGTGAGACAAAGTCCCTATTGGCAAGGAGACTACAGCCCCTCCCTTTTCCCACAGAGATAAACTTTCAGAGTCTAAGGACACTGGCTGCCTTTCCTTCTCCTCCCTCTTGGACAAGCGCTAGCCCTACGAAGAAGTGCCCTGATCCATGTGTGGCCAATTAACCACATTTCCGATGCCCTGGCTTGACAGCCCCCTGCTTGAAGGAACTTGGAACAAACTCCTTTCCTGGGGAGAAGAGCCAGCCCCTGGGGCAGTGTGTCAGACAGCAGGGACTTGGACTGGGATTCACACAGAGGTGGGGCGGACCCTCAGCCCAGCCACGTCCGAGATGAGCAACACTAGACAGCTGACATAACTCTGTGAGTCTCTGTGTCCCCATGTGTCAAACACAGAAAACGAAATCCAGTTCACTTGGTTGTTGTGAATCCTGGATCCCGAGTGGGGACTCGATACAGTTCCACGCCATAACTTCTATTTGACATCTCTCTAATTGAGATGATAGCAGATTGCCTTTACTTAAAGTGAGGTTTCTCTATGTAAACAAATATTTTTCCTTCCTCCCTAAACCTGAGATTTCTTCTACCCTGCTGGCCCTGGTCAATGGCACCATCGACCGCCCAGCCACCCAGCTTAGAGGCTTCCCCTCCCTCACCTGCACCCAATTATGGGCCAAGGCCCGTCCAGTTCACCTCCACAGCCTTCTCCTGTCCTCTCACCATTCTGACTCCCACTACCTGGGTCAAGGCTGTCTCATCTCTCTACCTGGAGTTCTCACCAGAACCTCCCAGTTGAGCCTCAATATTTCACCATCTAACCCATCCTTTACACTGCTTCTCAGACCACCTTCCTAAAAGTCAGATCGGGTAATGCCACTGTCTTCTTCCAAAGCTTCTGATAATTTTCCATTACCTACAGCAGAAATTAATTCCACCTTCCCTATCAAGTCATTTCAGGTCCTCCATACCATACTCACGGCTATCTGCCAACCCTCTCCTTATTTCCCTCCGAGAACCCTACATCCAACCTCACTGAACAACTGCCATTTCTCAAACACACCAAGTGCTCTCTGAACCTCTGGGCCTTTGCAAACTGGTCCCTTGCCCTGGAACATGCTTTTCCAATGTCACTCTTGAATCTAATTCAAGTGTTTCCTTCTCTATGCTCCTACCTGTATTCCTCAGATGTCTATTAAGCATGTATTTCCCTCTGCCACTAGGATGTACATTCCTTAAGGGTAAAGGTTTTGCTTTGCACTTAACTTGAAATCTCTCATAATGCCCAGCATGTAGTATGTATTACATATGTTTTCTAAATGAAGGAGTACATGTTTTAGGTGTGGCTAAATTCAAGCAAGATTTTATGGTACAATAATAATGGTAAAACGCTTTGGGGTCCAATGCTCTGGCAGCAAAGGGTCAAGGGCAGGCAACTTATCTGCACAAATATCTTCTCTACGACTTTGGTATTCCTCCACCTCTGCCTCCTATGTCCATATGGTGACTCTATTTTACAAAAATCCAAGAATCACATGATCTGACGCATGGTCTTAGCAGGGAATAGAATATATGAAATTATAACTGTCCCAGAAAATCCAGCCCATCTGGTAGGTGCTTTTTATTTTATTAAGATATAATTTACATACCATAAAAGTCACCCTTTTAAAGTGTACAACTGTACAGTTCAGTGGTTTTTAGCATATTCATAGAGTTGTGCAACCATCATCACTATCTAATTTCAGAACATTTTCATCACCCTATAAAGAAAACCACAGACCCATTAGCAGCCATTCCCTATTCTCATTCCCTACCAGCCCTCGGCAGCCAGGGATTTACTTTGTCTCTATAGATTTGCCTATCCTGGATGTTTCATATAAATAGACTCATAAAATATGTGGCCTTTTGTGTCTGGCTTCATTCACTGATATTTTCTTTAGGGTTCCATGTTGTAGTATGTATTAATACTACATTTCTTTATATTGACAAATAATATTCCATTGTATGGATATACCACATTTTGTTTCTCCATTTATCAGTTGATGGGTATTTGGGTTGGTTCCACTCTTTGGCTGTTGTAAATGCTACTGTAGCTGCTTTTAATACTAAACCACAAGGCATGGGGTTGTGGCTAATGAAACCAGCAAGAAGGGCCTTCCCTTACTGGACCTGCTGCCTGAGAGTGGCTTAGGAAGGGGCTTTAAAGAGAGAGACCTGAAAAGGAAGGGATGATTGGAAGGCAATAGAAGCTGTCTATCTGGGGGGCATCATCACTGGACAGCAGGCTGCCCTGGAGGAAAAGAGAAAGGATAGGCCAATCCCAGTCCGACTTACCTCCAGAAGTGATAGAAAAGTAGAGGGACATTCAGCCCCAGCGTGAGCCACTCTTGTGCACACAGGAACATGATGCAGAATAGGCTATGGATGGAGTATTCTGGCAGCACCAGCTGAAGAGGGAGCAGAGACACAGCCCTAGGTTAGAGGGAGAAGCCACTCCTGCTTCTACAGCAGCTGACTTCTGCCTGGACACTGCCTCTCACAGGCTAGTGACATGAAGGCCCTTCCTGCAGCAACATAGAGTCACTGGCCCAGGACAGATCCATTTCTGATATATTCTTCTTCTCATGGCGCTCTTCTTTTTATAGCACTCTTCTTTTTATGGCACTCTTCTTTTTATTATACCCAAACCCAAATGACACAAGCCCTCAGTGCACTACTTACTATTAACAGAATACCGCACTTGCTCCTGGGGTCACCCATAGATGGCTACTGGGAAGACTGGAAGAGCTGGTCCAGCTCATGTGCCATCTGACCCAAGGCAGGACCACTAGGAGAAATACTGCTAGAGTTTCTAATGAATCCATAACTGCCCCACTCTTGTTTTTCTGGCTACTGTGTATCACAAACCCAAAGTGAGTATGTACGATTATCACAAACATAGGAGGGTGAAGAAAAAATGGCCCACCCCAGGAGGTAGGCATTTTGCCTGACAGGTGGATGGAGAAAGAGGAACATAAGAGAAAGAACAATTAGCAATGATGAAGGAGGACACTGTAGTCTCTGGAGGAAGAGGGAAGAAACTGACCCTGACCAAGAAAGGCCTGATGCTAGGAAGTGAGCAGCAGGAAGAGTAAGCTCTCCCACCTCCAACCCAGCTGCACAGGTATAAATGGGTAAAAGGAGCTTAAAATCATTGAAAAGCCCCTCCCAAGGGTACATACATTTGATCAAAAATCAAAGTTGTAAGCTAAAGGGGAACTGTAAGGAAGAAATTTGGCCCCTAGGCCAGCAGTAGGGAAGGCTGCAGATATAAATGCATCATTTTACCCACTTATAGAGGAAGGTAGAGACATTTATTACTAAATATATTTATTCATGTAATTTATAAATGTACTTTGTATTGCTTAGGCTACCATGGATGCTTCAGTCTTCCCCTCAAAATCTTTTCAAACATCCTTGGGGGCCCATCTCAAATGCCTCTTTTCTTTTTCTTTTTTTTTTGTGTGTGTGATGGAGTCTCACTCTATCTCCCAGGATGGAGTGCAGTGGCGTGATCTCAACTCATTCTAACCTCTGCCTCCCAGGTTCAGGCAATTCTCCTGTCTCAGCCTCCCAAGTAGCTGGGATTACAGGCATGAGCCACCATACCCGGCCTCAAATGCCACTTTCTAATGGGAGCTCTCCCCACCCTCCCTTGCTCCCTTGTTCCTTCGCCTTCCCCTGTACCTCTGGGCCCGACAGCATGTTTTCTGACCCTCTCCCAGGAGTACTTTCCATAATCTATCCATTGTGGAGTCATCATCTTCTTCCCATCTCCCAGTGCAGACAGACTCCTCTGTCCGGCATTCTGCAAGCCATCTTAGCCAAAGTCTATTCTTTTCTCATTTCCATTTGCAAAGCGCCTTTGTACAATGCATGGCAGTTAGTAGAGACTTAACAAATACTTGGTAAAGTGCATTGACCTGACCAAGTGCCTATGTTTGTAACATGGCTGGCTGGCATTAGATATCCAGCCTGTGGTTACAGACTAAGATTTCTTTGGGTGGAGAGCAAACTCCCTCAAACCATCCCATTTGGGCATGGACCATGACTTTGGTCTCTCACTTTAATTAGCTGAGCTAACTATCCCAGATGGCAGACACAGAGGGAGAAACACATACGCACACATTAAAAATAAAGACATGCACAGCACACGTGTAAGACATTTTGTAACTATGGGGCACCTTCTTTATTCTCAGAGTCCAGTGCAGATGAATTGCATTAACCCACACCATAGATTTCTCAGGCAGTCACCTGAGGAATCAGAGCAAAGGAGCCATCATTCCAGAGGTGGTAACCTTGGGTGGGTGAACAAGGCACAGCCAACCCCTGTGAATCTCAACCACGAATGTCCCTATTGTATCTCCTTATAGGACCTCAGAGCTGTGCTTACCAACCCCATCTGCCCCCAGCCAAGGCACTGCCCTACCCCCTCCCATCTAAAGAAAAAGCCCACTTTCTCAGGGCGGGGTGCACCAGCCCCGGGAGGCAGTGGGGCTGTGAGTTCCACTGTGCATATCTCTACATTTTCTAATCATCAGTTTCAGCCACTTAAGCTGAGGCAATTAACATGTTTAGAGATGATTCAGGCCCACCCTGGGCCTGAATCATCCATTATTGCTCCATCTCCATCTCCATCTCCAATTCCAATTCCAATGATAAATCTCTGATTACAGTTTGGATTTCAGGTTCCACTCTTAATCACCACTGCTTCTTCTGTCTTTGGGGTTTGATTTATTGTGGAGGCTGCAACCTTTTGAGGAGGGAGAATTCATCACTGTCTCCAAGTAAAGGAAAACTGCTTCGTGGAGGCCAGGTAGTCCCGGAGGTCTCTAGCCTTTTGGAGAGTGGGAAAAAAGCTGAAGAATTTATTCTGCCGTCTCAGGTGGCTTCGCAAGATGACCTCTTACTATCTACCACACTGAACAGGATACTTACAAATAGAAGAGGCTCCTCCAATTATTAATCCAGGGACTTTTAGGAGTAATAGTGACTTTTTGATGCACACAGTGGTCCTTGCCTACTTCCCCAGCTGTTCCTTGTCACAACAATGTGGAAGAGACAGGGGACCTCTTCCTTCTAATCCAAATGGAAATCAGCCAGGTCATTTGCATGAGGCCTGTGCCATAGCCATTACAGCTGCCCTCCACTCACACCCAGCACTCAGCCTTCTGGAAGGTGGTAAGGTCTCATTTTCCAGCTCTCAGGGCTTGGGGGTGCCGATGGGCTGTGGGCAGAAGTGATGTGGAGAGAAGGCCGGACCATTTAACGGCGGATACAAAATGCTCCAGTCTCTTTTCCTTTTCCTCTGATGAGGCAAAAAGCATTTAGGATAGAGGGTAAGCCACAAGTAAGGAAAGAGGCCCCCAGGCAATTCATGATGGACTCGAGTGTGAGCAATAAAGAAACTTGTGTTGCTTTAAGCTGCCAAGAGTTGATGTTGTTTTTTTTTTTTTTTTTACCATAGCATGATTTAAACGATCTCATATGATACAGTCAGCAAACCCCAGAATGAGTAATCAATGGAAAAAGCAAAGTTTTGTTCTTCACTCTTTATCCTCTCGCAACTGTCCACCCGGCCCTTCCTTAACAAGACATCGAGGCTGGCAGGACACGGCTCCCTGTCACTGGACGTGCTCAGGCAGGGCTGAATAACCACCAGGCAAGCATAATGCTTATTCATGTGTGTGGGCAGCCAGACTAAGTGTTCCCTCCCAATTCGGAGAATATCTGTTACATAAAGACCACCCCTGAAGCTTCCAGGCAAAATACAGAAATGCTGATGCAAGCACTCATCACAGCCCCATGACCCTGAGTCATGTCTTAGCTTTGGAAAACACTATTTTTTAAATAAGAGAAGCTGTTGAATGGTGCCAATCTCCTTTCACTAACAAAGGGAGAAACTGTTTCATGCAAGCCACAGCCTATTGAATTGTCATGTATTATTATACCCTGCTTTCTAGATATAAATCCTAAATCTCAATATGAGTACTGTGGGATTACTGAAAGACTGCAATTCACTCCAACCGGGGTGGGGGGATCATAGAAGGTTTGTGATCAAAGGGAAGTTGGAAAGGGTGAGTAAAACTTACCCACGTGTGGGAAGTGGAGGTTGGCCTTCTAGAAGTGGAACAGTGAAAGCAAAAGCAGAGAGAGATGGAAGTCACTGGCCTGGGGTGGCTCCTTAACAAGGCCACCTCAAAGGGCCCCGATTCAAGGACATTAATAATATCAGGCAAGGACTTCATAAATGCTACCTTTATTCCACCTGTCCTGACTTCCTGCCCAGGTGCTAACAGTCAATTTTCATTTGCTGGCAAACATTTCCATCTGGATATTCTACAACCACTTTGTGCTTAAATTCACATTCTTCCCAGAACCTGCAAACTTTGTCTCCTAAATTTCTAACTTCTACTAACCATGCCATCTCTGACTCCTCATCAACCTCCATATGAGTCTGTTGCCAAATCCTGCGTTTTCACTGCCACTTGCATTTGTTCCTCCCTTTTTATTTATCCTGCCCCTATTGGTCTGGGCCCTGGACCTCCTCCCCAGGCTGGTGCAAAAACCTTCTAGCAGGTTTCCATCCCTGTGCACATGTGCCCTCCATCCAACAGAGCAGTATATGCCATGCTCAGCTCAGCTCAGCTCAGCATTAAGCCATCATTCACAATCTTGTTTTTCTAGGAATTTTATTTACTTGTCTGGATTCTAAATATTTTCTTTTTAGCTATGCATCCTCTCGTTCATTCATGTATCCATTTGTTTGCTGCTCTATCCCATCAATGACCTGCAGCTAATTGGTACCCTTTATAGATTCTGAGAATAATGGAATCATGTGCCAAGTCCTGTCTTATTTTTACTGCTGTGGTAGACAGGGGCATTAGGGGTTGTGGGAGAGATTCTTCCTATCCCCAAAGAAAAAGAAATAGAAAGGGGATGCTTGGAGTTGAAGCAAGGGAATAATGCTCCCTGGTGGGAAAAGGGAATTCCCTAAGACCAGGGGAGGGGAGAAGATAAGGGAGGTGGAGGGCAGCAAGCGCCCCTGGTGCTGCAGATCTACCTGCTCCTGGCTCTCACCAGGCATCCCAAGGGCATAGGGTTTCTGAGGGGCTCGCGTCGGCATGCCTGGGACCAAACACATTAAAACTCACAGCCATGGAAGCCACGGGGAAGCTCCTGGAGCTGAGTTTATCTTGAAGAGAGTGGGAGCTGTGAGACTCAGAGTCTCCACCCATCTCTGAATCCCCCTGTCAACTCAGACAAGCAGCTTTCCAGCTGTAATTCTTTAAGTCTCAATATGTTAGCCCAGTGTCTTGAAGCATTACATATATTCCCACAGTTATATAATAATCAACTGTCTGATATTTAGAAAAGCAGCTTCCCATGCTGAGTCTTATTTTCCCCA